ACACAGAGACCTTAAACTCCAAAATCTGGCGTTATTTATCAATAAATTAAATAATAATTTTTTCAAGAAAGCCATCACCAACGCGGAGGTAAATTATTCAGACAATTTTAAGTACGAGCTCCTAGAAATTGACATCAATTTAAGGCCCTATGCAACCCACATTTATCGGAATCCCCCATAAATAATCTTAACTTCTTCCAGCCAATTTTGAAGTTTCAAAGTACGACATTTTCATTTACACTGGCCGGGGCCACATCTACACAATCTTCCTGCAGTCCCTTATCAAGGTATTCCTGCGAAGCACTGTATGTTATGTCTCCCCTAATCGGGGTTATTTGAGGGGCCTGTAATAGCGGGATATAATTCCTGCAGAAACAGGCATATCAAAAGTATCAAAGTATCAAGTATTTTTCATCAGATTGCTTTTCTCCTTATGCCGCCATAAGACCCTTGCTGCCGCTCTTCCCGTCTGTCTTTCTTTGAATAGCATAACACAGTAAGCCTATTTAGCAGAGCTGAAATCGCGCCGGCGCCGCTACTTCTTAATTTTTGGGATAAATCATAATTGTAGGCGAAGCGCACCGGAGCCCTAAATAAGAAGGCTCCGGCATTTCTTTTATGTAACTGAACAACAATTTCAGTAGAAATTTGGTCTCGAAAATGTTATTTTTTGCGATAAAATTATATTAAAAATCGCTTATTACATTTTATTTTTATTATTTAAATAAATAATAATTAATTAGTTTTTGATTAAATAATAAGTGATAAATATTAATTATTAATATTGATTAAATAATTAATAATTACTTTGATAATAATTAACTATTTAATTTTTAAATTATTAATGATTTTAATAGTCATTTTATTGACTTATTTACTTTTGTTCCTCTTTGCGGGCGGTCTTTCATAGGGCTCCGATACTTCTATTTTTAGAAATTAAGCCCTGCTATTTAGTACAAATTACTATTGCATATGTAATTTTGGAGAATCTAAAGGATAATGATCTGCCATCTGAACTGAATAAAGATGTGGAGTCAAAGCAGCTAACTTCTTCTGTGTCATCATTTCATGCCAAGCTTTATTATGTGCCACCGACTGCCAAAATATTACATATATTTAAAGGGACAGACAGAATATAAAATGGCAAAGAAAACGTACATGTGTAATGAAAAACGCATGTCTTCCTGTTTACAAAGATTTCAAAGTTTTCTATAATGAATGCTAAAATTTTCTGCTTATTACTGTCATCTTTATTAACAGTTTTGAATAGAAAAATAATTGTTTTTAAAACAATGGAAAAAATTTTTTTCTTTTGTGAGTTAGGAATATTTAATAAAGTAACTAAATATTCAATAAAATTATTCATACAGTTTATTTCATTAGGAAACAATTGTTTATCTATTACTTTTAGTTCTGAGTTCCCAATGAAAACACTACACTTTAGATCTTATGTTACAATACAGCAGAAGCTTCAATAATCGGTGCAGAGTATCAATAATAAAAATATATATATTATCTTTGAAAATATTTGTACAAGCATTAAGAGTTTCTCAGGTTTTATGGACAATAGAAATTGAAAATGTGCTAAAACACTTTTTAATCATATTTTTTTTCTTTACTTAAATTTAAAAAAAAATAAGAAATAGAGGAAGTGCAAGATGTAAATTGTTTCTGTCAATTTCGTCTCCGACATACCTTCAGCAATTTCTCTAGAAACTGAAGAATTAATTGGTAAATAATTTGGGCAGTCAGGCAATTGAGAAGGTACAGGATGACAAATTAACGAACTATATGAAATAAAACTTAAATTATTTAAAAACTACTTAGTGCACAAACTTTAATCAACATGTAAACGTTGGCATGTCCGATATGCCTGCCAACTTTGGCTATGACGTGACACAGACGAATAATAAAAGTCTGCATGATTCGCTGAAGTGTCGAAACATCGGTGCTGCCAATAACTTCTTGAATGGCAGTTTTCAGCTCAGCAATGGATTTGGGGTTATTTCTATACACATTTTCTTTAAGATAGCCCCACAAAAATGAGTCGCACGTGTTCAAATTCGGAGACTATGGCGGCAAAGCAAGTCCCATTCCAGTGGCCTCTGGGTACGCCAGAGCCAGAATGCGGTCCCCTAAGTTCTCCAGGACATCAAACTTCTCTTGGTCTAATGAGGTCGAGCTCCATCTAGCATGAACGACATCTTGTCGTATTCAGCGGCAGTTTGGATAATGGGGATGAAATCATTTTCCAAAACCCTCGCCGTAACGTATCGTTCAGTGGTCACCGTGCCATCAACGAATGCCGCACCGATTATTCCGTGACTGGACATTGCACACCACATAGTCACCCATTCAGGACGGAGAGACTTCTTGATCACGAAATGTGGATTCTCAGTTCCCCAAATCCGCCGATTTTGCTTATTGATGAACCCATTCAAATGAAAGTGAGCTTTGCTAAACCAAACCATATTCACACCAAATTCCTGTTCGTCAATTCTCTGGACAATAGTTTTGGCGAACCGCTGTTCCATGGCCATGGGCCTTTATGGCTAATGGGTTTCAATTTTGTATGGGAAGAGATGGGATGAGATTGGAACCATTGGCCAGGCTACCGACCTAAGGTTTAACCAAGCGGATTTTGTGCCTGGTCAGTTGGAAGAATATCATCCTGGTTAGTGGGATGGTTACATAGGATATTTAAATTAGCTAAATTACGATGAAATCTTTTTTTTTGTGATTTTACATTGGATATAACTGCAGGTATTCTTGGAAGGTTGTACTTTATGTTACATTTCCCATTTCATAGTAGTATCTTACGTTTCATTTACACTACACTCTATATTTTTTCTTTTCATACATGCATTATGTTAGGATGTAGTACATTATGCCCTACATTATATTGTACAGCATATTATACATGGAATTACTGGGGATTATTATATATTACAGTACATAGATTATGTCAGAATACAAAACATTAAATCATACATTATATTATTCAATACACTATGTTTGGAATTATTTTGAATACATTGCATAATATATAATACATTATACTTAACTACGTTCACTTTTCACATACATGTCTCTGACGTATGACACTGTCACATACGTGTCTTTAAATAAAAGTGCCTTACTGGAATACATAGCACATTACTGGCACTTAGTATATTGTACACTACATACATGGTACTAGTTACTTAGTACTTTATATAATACTGGAATACATTACATTATTGGGTTACATAGTACGAAATGCGTTATACTTTACTGTGTTCGCTTTTCATAGTTGTGTTGTGATTTTCCTTTCAATACATGTGTTTTTTAGATACAGTGCACTATATCATACGTTATTTATACAAAACATTATACGTGGAAGACATTTCATAATTCGAATACTTTGAATAAATTACATAGTGTTTAGTACTCTATGCCATACTCTAAATTATTCCCCACTCTGTGCATGGTTTCATATAAGACAAATACATGATTTACAATTTAACCTTATATATTTCTTAATTTATTTGTTATGTTAGGGTACAACACACTAATATGGGAAGAGATGCAGTTCTTCAACAGCATCTCTTCCAGGTTCGCAGGGTCTCCCGGTTGATTCCCACCAGTTGTGCAGCTCATCTGATCGATTTCTTTGGGCTGGTTTGAAACAGTGTGTATCTTCTCGATGTTTTCAAGCGTTTTCACACTTGTTTGTTTATTGGCATTGCCAATACTATCATCACAAACACTACCAGTTCTCTCAAACTTGTGAATCAAATTCTTGATTATTAGCACACTTAGACTAGTTGTCTTCAGCTTGTACCCGGTGGCAAACTTCCTTTGAGCTGCAATCGGGCTGTTATTGCTCATATAACAGGCCTTCACAAGCGCTATACGCTCAGGCACGCTGTACTGTGACATTTTCACTTCAAAATGGCCGACAATAACAAGTTGCATGTGCATGCGCATACTAGTTCCCATCATGACCTGCGGCCAACCACGAAGTTTGAACTTCATCACGCAAACCGTTTAGAAGTTATGATGTTTTTATAACATATAGTTCTATAATTATCACTCTGTAAATCATCCGTTTGAAACCTTGGAGGAACCAAATTAATTTTTATAGAAGCTCCTTTTTCTCTTCAAAAGGAAAAGGGGAATTTATGACTACATGAGGGGGAAGTCCCCATGTCATCAAGTGAAGCTGTTGTCGTCTTTCGTGCCTTTGTTTACTTTCTCATGCTTTTATATATATATATATATATATATATATAATGTTGTATGAACTTAAATCCATTTAGTGCGAATACAAGTTATTACAATTGTAATATTATTCTTCGTGATGATTTAACTCCAGTCCCCGTTAAAACATTATTAACATTTTGCTTTCAAATTACTTCAAAACATCTTTCAAAATATAACTTACCAGTATGGATGCATACTTTTAAAATAATTCTACTTTAATTAAACTTAGGAGATAATATAATCAATTAATCAATACGGTTTAGGAAATAAATTATATATATATATATATATTTACAGAAATAAATGCTAAGATTAGCATTGGTTTGCATCCCGAAAACCAAGAATGTGGAAATTTTTTTGTATAATTTATGAATTTTATATGAACAATCCATATTTCACCACTTATTTTTAAAGATAAGGTCACTAAAAATCATGGAATTATATCCTTTAGCGGAAGTATTCTTTTTGTTGTAAAAAAAAGGAAACTGGTCAATAGGTTTCCAGCATATCAGCATAGATTACTTAAAAGTAATTTTGCTTCTATGTCTATGCCCTTTGAATGCCGTGGAAATAAACAGTGGAAAAAATCCCTATGACATGATTCCATCTACTCTATTTTGAGAATAAATTAGTTCAAATGGTGCATGCGTGTTTGCGCTCAGGGTCGAGGCTAAGGCGGTCAAACTTTTTTTTAACACCTCAATTTTGTCCAAAATTATATCTATATGGAAAGTAAAAAAATGAGGAAAATAACGTAAATTTTAGCGTAATGTTTATTCAAGTAGAAAAATTGCGCAGACTTACATATATTTTCACTAAAAGCATACACAGTAAATAATTGGAAAGATTTATGTATATGCGATAAATATACGTAAATCTTCACCAAAAGTATATGTAAATTCCTATAATGTACATATATTATATGTAAAAAACTACGAATAAAGTGCAATCATTCGTATGAATATACCTTAATTTTACTTATACTGTAACATAAAAATAGATGTAACTATCTTTCTTCAGACACATTTTATGATAATTTGACATTTTTTATACAAAAGGCCATTCGTAAATTTGTACCGTGCAATTTAGGAATGCATGTTGCTGGGTGCTAAACATTATACTACAAGGATAAAATTTGCAGTTATAATTAGCAACAAATAAACATGTTTAATTTGTATTTTTTTTTTTTTTTTTAAATCTTGTTGAAAACCAAGAAAGTAGAAAAAACTTTATAATTCAAAATAGATGCTTTATTTAAAAATAGATTTATAAAAAAAATTGAATTAAATATTACACAGCCATAGCAGAAACTAATAATGAATTTTAAATTACTGATAGCAATTTTTCTACAAAGAAAGAAAAGGTAAGAATAGATAAAATTTCATTAATTAATTTTCATAGAGAATGGCCATACATTTCAAGCATTCACAGAAAAAATAAAAAATATAGTAAAATGTTTCCCAAACTTTTTATCACTGTAATCCACATAATACAGTTATGATTTATAAACCAAATTAATAGTTGGAAAAATATAGGCTAGGAGTGAAAGAAAATTCCTACAAGAAAATTATGTAACAAAATAATAATAAATAAATATGCAGAATTAACAAAAGAAAGATAAATTAAAATCTTTTGCAAAAACTGTCTCTTGAACCATTGCTGGATTATATCCCCACATTGGGAAACACTGTTGTGAAAGATCATAAACTAGTGAATCTTTGCAAAAGTTAGAGTACACTTTTTGCCATCAATCTTAAAAGAATTTAATAACGGAAGATAATCCTCTTATTTAAACCTTAACAAGAGATTGTCATACAAACACCCACATACTAGATTTTGTTAGTAATCTTAAATGTGGTACTTGAAGAAAAATAAAATGTTCACAAATAAGCTTTACTTTCCGAACAAACCTGTCAGACAATAACTGAATATTTTCACTAAAAAGGTTTTGAGAACTTTTTTAAAATGCTTGAAAGGGGGGGGGAGAAACCACCACAGCAGTAATGTTTATAAGTTCACTGGCAATAATTTTAACTTTAAAAATAAGTAGATGGAAAAAGTGCACATCGTTACTCATGATATGCACTCTTTGCTCATTTATAAAGATGTTTTAGAAACTAACTGATCAATATTCTAAGGCACCCTACACAAAAGTTTAGCATCTATTGCCATAAATAAGTTTGCCTTACTAATAACTAGCTAAATTAGATGCTAAAAAATTGATTCTGTATAACCTTATCAAAGCATTATGCTATGTTGTTTTGAACTAATAGATTCCAAAAATTCATGGGAAGCCATTTTGGCCATTTTCATTCACTGCTATTTGGTGTGCTGCTTCAAAGTGCGTATGAGGTACAATTTAAAAATTGCCATCCATCTTTTCTAAACAGAGGTAGAATAAAATTTTTTATGCAATCATGCAGCCTGTTTATTATTATTACTAAAATACACAGAATGCTGCCCAGACTGCATAGTGGTTAGAGGAACCCACTGAGGTACCCAAAGGGCCCGGGCTTGAATCTCAGAGAAGGGCTGGATGTTTGCAAATGCATAGTATACATGCAGCATGAGGTCACTTTAAATATGTGGCAAGCTAAAAGTCCTTTCGAGAGGCTGATGGTAGGGAAAGGCAGGTGGGAAACCCTCGGACACCCTTGAGTGCTCTCCATCAAAACTGGGAGCATAACTAAGCAGTAACTAAGTCGTACTGTCACCTGTATGATGCTCAAGGCTCTAGCCATGTGATGGGCACAATCTTGCACTCCTTGCCATGATGAATTTCATGGGCTTGTTCTGATGTTACTGTCAGACAAGTGAGATAAATTACAAAAACAAAATACACAGAACTGATTTCATTCATACTGAAATGTTTTATACATTTTCTTTTCAGGCGTACATACAACTCACAAATTTTGCTTTGGCTGCAGCCTGCTCATCTGGTGCGCTTACCCGCTAGTAGTTATACGGAAAAAGGTATATATGTACTGATAGAAAATTAATATTCAAAGATTATAAACTATATAAAAAACACAGGATTAAAAAATATAAATATTTTATTTCCCCAAAACATTTTTGTGGCTTGTTCAATATGTTATACTCTTGGATTTATTTCCAAACATAAACATTTTGAATTATAAAATCTAGAATAAAACATACACAATAAATGATTTAAAAAATGCAACTAATAAAAATTACATGCATCAAAACAATTAGTCTTATTTTTAGTATAAAATTCTTTTAATCGATATATTCTATATTATAATGCAGATATGAAGCCAAAAGGAAGGAGGGAAAAATAGTTACACATTTTAACACAATTTAAAAATATACCAAATACAAATATTAAAAGGAAATGAGCTGTGTAATTATCCCTAAATTCAAATATATTTGTACTGAATTGCTGAATAATCATGGTACATTTTGGTTTGATTATAGAAAACAAAATACCAAAAAAGTTAATTCTGAATCAATAACACAAAAATGGGATTAACATTTTTATACTAATTAATAATAAAAAATGAGCTGATTTTTATACACTGTATTAAAAACATTATGAAAATAAGTATTAGAAAAGAATTTGTGTATCTGAGCCAAATAAATGCTGGTAAATGAGAGTCCAAATTAAGTTGATAGAAATTTGGAATCTTAAAATAGCCTTTAAACAACTCCTTTATCTGTTAGTCAATCAGTATCCTAGAAATATAGGTATAGTATCTACAACTAAATTTATGATATTTAAGCATTTATAACATATTTAATATGCACTTTTCCCTCCCCCCTCCAAAAAAAAAAAAAAAAAAACGAGAAAGAAGCAGGTATATGCTTAAGAGAACAGCAAGAATAGTGTTACTACACATTATCAGATCACGAAATAAAATAAATTACAAAGGAATACAACATTCCTCTCAATAACAATTTCATTCAAACCACTATTTCACAAAGTACTTCTAGATGATACTTAAGGTACAGTTTTCATTGAACATATGGCATTATTATGTGCACACACAAGTAAACTTTGGAAGTGGATTTAAAACAGGAATTGTATACATTTTCTCCCATACGCTCAAATTAGGCATAGTAAAAATATATATCCTTCTACGTGCATATTTTAAATGTTGCTTGAATTTAAAAAGAAAATGTCACTGACTGACTACAGATTTGATAATAAAAGTTTTCTTATACTCTCTCATGCTTCTAAACACAGCATGGATAATAAACATATTTCCCATTTAAGCATGTGTGTTGAAAAATAAAATATCACATATTTAGATACAATGTCCTCAAGTAATTTTATACATCCCTGCTCAATATGCTGCTGTAATGTGATCTGGAGTATTTGTATTCAAAGACCAGAAACACCAGCTTGAGGATTATACTGAAAGAAGAAAAAGTAAATTAATATTGTCATTAATGAACTGACTAATATACACATAAATCAAAATTAAATAAATGTCTTTAAAAAAATTCCGGGCTCAGCCTTGATCTCGTAAAACAGAAATATCTTCAAATATTTTTTTTTAAAAAAAGTGCAGACATATAAAAGATTTAATTCTCGAACTAATCTACAATATTATTTAAATTCAGAAGTATAAGAAAATCAAGTGCAAAAACAATCCATGAAAATAAATCCAATAATTTAGCAAATTAGAATTAATTCAAACAATTTTTTTAAAAATGCATAAGTGAATGACTGTTTAAATGATATTTGTTCGAGAATTAAATCTTTTATATGTTTGCACTTTTTTTTAAAAATATTTTTTTTAAATTATTTTGGCTTTAATTAATTTAATTTTGGCTTTAATTTTGATTTTTTACTTTTATACATGTTTGTTAAAATTTAAATTTAAATTTGCTTAAATTTAAATTTCATTCCTTGCAGCAATGGTGCAAAGAATTATTTAATTAAATTTGTATTTTATTTAATTAAATTTAATTGATTCTTATGAACAGTAACTTTCATGTACAATAGTTAGGATATTTTTTAAGCGATTTTAAAATGCAGTTTTATTTAATTCTACCTAAAAACTGAAAAATATCAAATGTCTTGCAGTTAAAATATAAAAATCTATACAAACTTTGATTTTTTTTTTTTTTTTCTTTTTGTTTTGTGATGAGAAAGGAACATTTAATTTCAAGTGATATGCTTTGCCCCCCCACACACATACAAAAAGAACAGAATTTCTTTTCTAATTGTAATACGATACATACATTAAACAGGAACTGCAATGATTTTGAAGTATACAATCAAACTTTTCTAAATTAAAAGCCTACAGCAAATCCTGCCAATGTCCTTCTCTTTCATCTTATTTTATAAAACCTTATATTTATATATTATAAAATTAAGCAAAGAAAAAATTATCCTTTCCATTATGACAACATTTACTAAACAATTTTGCTTAAAAGAAAGATGCACCAATGTTGATTATTGGCCACCGTTAAATTAAATTGGTTCTTCTAATCTCAGATAAAAATATTCTTATTTTCAAAGTAAGTATTATCAATAAGGAATTTTAAAGTGTTTCATTCCATTTGAATTCTCTTTTCATCAAAATAATTAATCTATAAGATATATTTTTTAAGTTGAAATGAACTGATCATGAAAGCATGTCTTCTTTCTTGCATTATCAAAATAGTGCATACATCCTTCTAGAGAAAACTGGTGCATGTTACCCTTAAAAAACAGCCAACTAAAGTTTTTATATAATTAAAGATCTAAATTATATTTATCTATGTATTGTATGTATTTATTCAGATGTTTTCTTACTAATCCCCCCCCTGAAAATCAAAATGAGAAAATTACATTCTGCATATCCTTTCTGAGGACAGAGTTTCTCAGTTTATGCAGATTACTCTAAAATTTGAGATATAGCTAAACGGTGCAAGTTATACATACTAAATCTTAGCTGTATTCAAAGTATATTCTTTCAGCATCAATGCATTGCAAGTGAATTTTCCAGATTAAATGCTTTAAACTATCCATTTCTTGGAAACAAGTAAAAAAACACTTCTATAGCTTCATCAATCCCATCTTCAGAAAGAAAAAGACAGCCATGTAAATTTTGTTTTATATTTAAAAAAAATAGCCATAGTTCACATATAGCAAGATCAGGAGAACAGGGTGAATGTTCTATCATACTGATGTTTTTTTTTTTTTTTTTTTTTTTTTCTCCAAGAAATTCAATTGTCAGTCTTGCTGAATGAGAAGATGCATTATCAGGGCAAAGGAGTCCCTTATTATTCACATCTTCAGGAGTTTCTGGAAGACACTTGGTGGTGTACCAGTTAATACCTTAACTTGATGGCTTTGGCCAGTCCTGTACTTCTGAAGAACATGGCATACATTTTAGATTAAAGTAACATGCAAAACAAATATCAATTTAGAAGTCAAACAACAAAAAACAGCGTTAGATTTGCAAATTTTCACAGGACTAGTTTTGATGGTTTTACCGAACCATCAGCCTCAGCTACCAAAGTGCAAGTGCCAAATTATTATTTCCACACCAACATATTATTGAGTAGCAAACCATGTGATTGAAAAGGAATAAATGCAGCTCTTAAAAATACTTCTTCTATTTTTTAACCTTACTGATTTAAAATAAAAGGGCATTTATATCATGCAATGTCTAATTATAAATGTTATATATTTTTATGAAATGACATTAGACTCACTAGACAAATGACTCATTAAAATCATTATATGCTTTTACCTTTTCTTAATGAAAAATCTTTTAGGTGGCTGGCCACTCGAGCATCTAGTTTTCAAAGGAATAATATTAAAAATAAAATAATAATAATATAAAAAAAAAGGTATGCTTAACCCCTAACACTCTATCAAGAACTCTAAAGATATGCTGTATTTAAATATTTTGTGAATAAAGCTAAAAGATTGTGCTAGAAGCAGTGAATCCAAGAGCAGACTGGTAATTGGCAAAGCTCGGTGACAGCATAAAAAAATTCTTAGCAAATCCTCTGATGTGAGATTAAAATCTGAATTCATTCAGATTTCATTTATATAATTTTTATTCTTTCTCTCACAATGGAAAAATTAACTATAATGATTTTAAGCTATTTTATATAGAAAGAAAGTACAGTCAAAAGTCGTTAATCCGGACTCATCGGGACTTCGGCAATTCTGGATTATAGATCATCAGTTTAAATCTGGTAAGATGGCATGCAGAAATTATAAAGTTAAAAATATAAAACCATAATTTATGAAATAAAGAACAATTATGATCTAAAACGTATCAAAATTTACAAAAAAAAAAAAAAAAAAAAAAAAAAAAAAGTTAATATTTATTTGTTTACTTTATTAAACATTTCTTTCAATTAAGTTGTTTAAGTTGCTTCGTTTTATGTGATAATACTTTCTCTTTAATTCTATAAACAGACATAATTTCTTGTTCAGTTACAAACTTCCGCTGTTCAAGTCCTAAAATTGCTGTGTCAAGAATACCGACTAATTTGTCAATCGAAATTTTTTCGTTTTCAATAACCTCTGTCACTTTCTTCGCTATCGGAAGTGAATTATAATGACGAGGAATTTGATTTAAATCATATCAAAGATGGAGTACATCGAGATGAAATACTACATTTAGTAAGGAATTATAAGACAAATAAAATGAAAACATCTGCCCTGAAGATAAGGATAATGCTGACAGATCAACTTCCAATTCATTGCACGCTGCGACGTTTCCCCCCCCTCCCGCCGCAGAGCAGCGTGAAATTGATAAACAGATTCCAGAATGGTTAGGTCATTTTTTGCAGCAATTCCACTTTTGTTTAATGGACTTCGAAACATACTTTTGCTTTGTAGATCCTTTACATAATAGTAAATATATATATCGGAAATTCTATTTGACATAATCGAAAGTTCAAGCTTACTTTTATAAAATTGCTCTAACAGCCTGCAAAAAATAATAAGCCGGATCCAATTCGAAGATTAAGGAACAACGCAATCTGCAATGTTAACTGAATTAGATAATTTTAGCTTAGCTTATACAGGCTGTTATACATTGAACGCGCATGCGTAAATGTATTTTGCGCATGCGCACATGTATATTCGCAGGAGTAAAGGTCTTACGCGGACGCATGCGCACAAAGTTTGTAGCTTTGAGGTCCGGATTATAGATCATTCCAGATTATGGGTGTCCGAATTAACGACTTTTGACTGTATACACAAATAAGTGTTCAACAATTGAAATGATACATAACTTGAAACTGTTCAACATTTTACTTACAAATAATACAAAAATTATTATATCTCAAGAAATATAGTGCTAGGACAAATTTTACCATGAGCAACATATTACATCCCAATCCAAAAAAATTTTCCTAATAATAAGCTGCTTTTAATTCAAATAATCATAACTGAAAAAAAAAAGTGTTGCAGGAACTTGGTATCCAAGTTAGGGTAGTTTACTGATAGCAAAGTTTTGTGCTTTCCAATAAATATCATGGCAGGTTTCTTCAAATGCTACCCATCATGTTAATGGGTTTACTAATAAGAATATAACATGAAATCTGGAACACACGGACTCCAGAGAAATAATCAAATCTTTAATAATGAGTATTGAAAAATACTGAGATTAATGAAAAGCCAGTGCAGTAAATTTTAGTCTAAAAATAATCTTAAATAAAGTAAACTTGGAAAAGATAGTCTTCAAATAGACTCTTTAAACAAAGCAAACTGCAAAACTTTTAAATATGAAATGTGAAAAGTGGGAATTTGAAATTGTTTCAACTTTGCTACTAACTACACGCAAAGTTTAAACAAAAGGTTACCACATTCACTATGCAGAAAAAGTAAAAATAATATAGAATAATGTATATATCATCCACTGGTTCTCCTACAGATTGAAGCTTCAAAAGAAAAAGAATTAATGAAGAAGAAAACTCAGAAGATAAAAATTAATAAATCTATTCTATTTGGATAAAAAGCTTGTAATTTATATATAAATACTAAACATAAATTCAGTTTAGACTCTGTCTGAATTGGGAAAAAAATGCTAATACTTGTGTTGTTATTTTGTACAGAAAAGGTTAAAATAAATTCTTGAAAATTAATAATATTCAACTTACAATCAGACGGACAGCAAAATGTGTATCTTGATCTGCTCCACTGGTAGCTATGGCAGATTTCATCTGCCCGTTAGGTAGGACTGCAATATACCTTCCTCGTTCAGAAACACTTTCTATAGTCACAAACTGATTTTGCATTAACACTTCTTTAACCTTAAACCGGCACTCAGGTGTTGGAAGACCAGATGGACCCTTAAAAAGAATAGTTTTACTGAGTTCAAGAAGGGATTATGTTACTTAATAAGAGCAAAATAATAACTTTCCACAAAGTTATAACTTTCAGAAACTGATAATTTAAACAAAATAGATTTTCACTCTTTGTTTTTTGACATTCACTAGAAAGAGGGGGAAAAAATTGTTTCATTGTCCTAAATTAAATAATTATGCTAAAAAATCTGATAATCCTCTCACAGATAATGTGAGTAACAGCAAATAAAATTTTAACAGTGAATGCTTGTTAATTCGAATTCGGTTAATTTGAACTAATCCAATGGCCCCCAAAAACTTGTATTAAAATTTATGTTAAAAATATCTCATTAATTCAAACTACATTTTTTATCACTTCGGTTGATTCAAATTAAAAATTTGACAAAACATTTCCTCATTTAATGGAGAAAACACATGCTGTATTTATTATTCAGTGTATCAAAATTACTTGCACTTCTTTTCCGTGTAAAAAGGCACATTCCTGAACTCCTAGAGTATTATATTTCACTATACATTAGTAGCTATTGTCCTACTTTCCACTTCTTATCAGTGTTTAATGGACAAAGCTCGCAGGCCTAACCTGTTTCTTTGGATTCATTCAGAACCCTTAATGAGGGGTCAGGGTAGGGGGGAGAATTATTTGTTATCAATTTTCTTAGAATTTCAGAAAAATTATAGTCTTTACTACAGATTCTAGATAGCTGAATCAGTTATGCCTGCAGTGCAGATGAGTTAATGTACTCTAGTTTTTATTCCTCAGTGTGTGGTATAGACAAGTAAAAATTCAGGAAGTCTCACATAGAAAGTATAAAACAGTAACTTTGGAGACAAAAACAGAAATTTTAAAAAACATAGAAAATGGGGAATGTAAAACAAAGTTAGCAGCTGACTATAGAATTTAAAAAAATACCTTGTAAACTTATTTGAAAACCACAGAATCAATATTTGATTAAGGAGAAAATCTAAATTTGCTAAAAGGAAACACATGAAAAATGCATCCCAAGAAGTCTAGAAAAAGCTCTATTGCTATGATTCCAGGATGCTGCATCTCGAAATTTTCCAATAAATGGACCCCTATTGCAGATGAAGGCTGATGGATTGGCAAGTTGAATGGGTATTGAAGATTTTAAGTGCAGTAATGGATGGTGATTTAAGTCAAGGCACAATATTTCTTATTAAAAATGCATGTAGCCAAAGCTCTGATGTACACTCATGTCCATAAATTAAGGATAATTCGGAGTCACACAGAAATTGAACTCTAAAATAAATATATCACTTTTATAATCACTACACACATCTTCAAGAATCATATGCAAATTTCAGGAAGTAACCAGATGACACCGATGGTACGTCACAATGACAAGAGTGTAAGAGAGTGATATATAAGGAATACAGGCAAAGAAGTAAAATTGTTCGTAGGCGCTTTATAAGCATTTCAGTGCAATAACCGAATAGTTATGACACAAAGGACGCATTTGGATGATTTTTTACATGGTAGAATTATCGGCCGTCTGGAATGTGGGCATACCCAACTGGAAGTATCAGACGAACTTGGAATTGCACAGAGTGTCATCTCCAGGCTTTGGCAACGATTCCAAGATGATGGTCATGTGAGTAGACGTTACAGCACAGGTCGCCCCAGAGTTACAATGCCGAATGAGGACCGGTATTTGGCAGTTACTGCCAAAAGAAACAGGTGGATCACAGCCTCAGACCTGTCTCATCAGCTCTCTTCAGCCACTGGTACGACAATTTCAAGGCAGACGCTTAGGGCAGATTGGTCTATATGCTCATAAACATGTCAGATGCGTTCCACTTACTGCAACTCACTGTCGCCTGCGGTTAGCCTGGAGTAGAGAGCATGTATTGTGGACACTGCAACAGTGGGCTTGTGTGATGTTTTCCGACGAGTCCAGGTTTAGCTTGCAGTCTGATTCTCGCCGAACTTTCATATGGAGAGCTCCAGGTACCCGTTACCACCAAGAAAACATCATTGAAAGACACCGTTATGGTGGTGCAGGAGTGCTCGTTTGGGGTGGAATTATTCTGGGTTCCAGAACTGACCTGCATGTTCAAATTGGAACCATGACAAGATAAATCTATCGAGACGTCATTCTGGAACAACATGTATGTTTGTTTCGGGGTGCCATAGGTGCACAATTTGTGTTTATGGATGACAATGCCCGTCCTCACCGTGCAAACATCGTAAGCGAATGCCTTCAATCGGAGGATATCACCCGTATGGACTGGCCAGCATTCTCACTGGACTTGAATCCAGTAGAGCACGTGTGGGACATGCTTGGCCGACGAGTTGCAGCCCGTCAACCTCCTCCTACATGTCTATCCGGAACTTCGGAAAGCATTGCTTTTTGAGTGGTGTAATATCCCCCAAGATCAGATCGATAATTTGATACTCAGCATGCCTAGGCATTGTACGGACTGTATTGCATCGTCTGGGAGACATACAATGTATTAACAATCATACCAACCATGTAATATTGGTTTTTTTTGTAAATAGTTTTTTTTTTTTTATAATTTGCTCCAAGGAGAAAAAATTGCTAATTTTTTAATGATATCAAACATATAGCATCTTTTTTTGCTCTTTACCTTTTGTTTAATAAATAAGCTTTACAAATAAGTCAAATTTGTTTTGCTTCTAACTCTTCCTTTGCCTGATTTTGCATTATCCTTAGTTTATGGACATGAGTGTAAATGAAGCCATAAGCACTAATTACAGTAGGAAAATGCAGGGGGGGGGTCTCTACTTACTTGCTGAAGAATATTTTTAATGCAGACAAACTTCAAAAACTCTTGACAAACTATAAACTACATTTTAAAGGGGATGCTTGCATAGGAGGTGAAAGCAGTAAACAGAGGATTATAATTTAGTTTGTGCTAATATGGATGGGAGTGAAAAGCTTAAATTATTAGTAATTGAAAAATCCAAGATTCCACTATGTTTTAAAGAAATTTGAACACTGCCAGTTGATTATGTATCGAGTACAAAAGCATGGATGACACATCTTCAGTAACTGATTAAAAGGAATAGATAAACAGTTTTTGAGGGGTAAATGTAAAATTGTTTTATTTGTGGATAATGCAAGCTACCACAATAATGTTCCAGAACTGAGTTCCAGTTGAATATTTGCTGCCAAACACAACTGTGAAGCTACAATCAATGGATCAAGGAATCATTGAGAATCTGAATACAAATCATCATAAGACACTCTTACAACAAATCATTTTTTCTTTAGATCAGAGATTCCCAACCTTATGCCCACGAGCACCATGACACCCGCCGATTGTTTAACGTGTGCCCACAGCTCAGCAATCGCAATAAAAATGTTTTAGTTTTCAATAAAATTCTACGTGAAAGTATGCTCATTCTTAATGAAATAGAAAGCACGTCCAACACACATACCAAAATAAAGCAAAATGCGACCAATCTCTTTTTTTATGTGCAAGTATTATTAACTCTATCTAACTATAAATTCACCTTGAAAAAGCGAATAGTGTCCGCTGTCCAACAAGTATCCTAAAATGTGCTCTTAGGGACAAAAGTTGGAAACCCCTGCCTTAGATTGTGGTGAAAATTATGACATTCTTTGCTGACAGCTATAAATGATCTATATGCCACATAAGATGCTGTTAAACAAGCACAATTAGTAATTGCTTTTGTCATGTTAAATTCATGCAAACTGAAGAGAAAAATCATATTAAAGAATGTGACGTTATTGATACAGCTTTTCTTGAATTCAAAAAATTTAAATGTGATAACATTACTTTTTTGATTGCGTATGGATATGGAAGTCTGTGAAACTGAGTGATGATGACATAATAAAAACTATCCAAGATAATGAAAAGGAAGAGACCTTATCGGATTCAGAAGAGAATGCTGAGATTGTTAAGCGTCCTAATGATCAAGCCATAAAGGTCTCTATAAAAACGCTGAAAGAATTTATTCAGATTGAAACTTCCTCTGAAAATGAATTGAAATGTGTACTTCAAATCAAGATGCTGGCTGAAAAATGTAGACATAATAAACAAAACTAAACATCCATTTTACAGTTTTTCCCAAAACTGCAATTCATATTTTTAATTTAAGATTACTTTCTACTTCATATCTTCTGCTTCATTTTATGTTTAAGATAAGACTTTAAACATAAAATGAAGAACATTATAATAATATATAATAAATAATAAAGTTTTAATATGTTTACTATTAGATGGCATAGTATATTTTCTGCAAATATACTAGGAGGTTATTCTTCTACAGTGATATCCCTTTTAAGTTACAGTTTCTCTTAATAATGGATAATTCGAACTCTTTTCCACAAATGTTTGAGATTAAATTAATGAGCATCTATTGTGCTTCATCAAAATTCAATAATTATGCATCTAAATTTGACATATCACCTACAGATACCGAATAAGATAAATTATCTACAGGTATTTCCTGGTTTGCATGACCAGAGTCAAGGTAATGAAATTTTCATTTTTTTCACCCCTGTTGGTGGTAATTAAAAAAAAAAATAGAAAGTATTTTGATCTGGTACCTTCTTCCTCTAAAATTTAAAGATTTTTACATGAAATTTTTTAGATTCAGATAGTTCTATGCAATTGCTTTAAAAGAATGATAGTTCTATGCAATTGCTCACAGAAAATGCTATTTTTTCTTACAAAATATCCTTTTAAATATCATTATAAATGCAAGCTCTCACCTTTCCTAGCATTTGTTTTAGAATAAAAAAGGGGAAAAAATATTTTAATAAAATAGAATTCAAATTTTTATTACACATGCTTGTGTTCTTTTACGCAAATTAAACTCAAACAACTTTTAGCAATACTGTGACAAGAAATTATAATTTACATGGATGTGGTAATGTACTAAATAATGCCCATGTAGAAGCAAAAAATAACTAAAATACATGAGGTCACATTTTTCACCACTGCACACTATTCAGCACTGAACAATTATTTTATTT